GGGGAAAGAGCTTGAATACAGGAAATCTGTTCTGCATCAAATTGTAAACTGTGGGGAAATTGAATGAGGAGACACTTTCCTCTTCGCTCACAGTACTGGTGGCGCAATGGGTCAGTGTGTGTCTCTGTTGAAGGTTGATGGTTCTAGCCCATCCAGGAATTGGACTAGATGACTCTTGGGCATAGCTGTCAACATTCCCCCTTTTTAAAAGGGAAATTCCCTTATTCCGAATAGGATTCCTCGCAAGAAAAGGGAAAAGTTGACAGCTATGCTCTTGGGGTCCCTTCCAACTCTACAGTTCTGTGATTCTATGATACTTGAACTCAGGGCCATCAAACAAAGAAGAAGCCATGCTTTTCAATACCAGTTTCTGGAAGCCACAACAGGAGAGAGAGCTCTTGCACTCAGATTCTTGTAGGCTTGTAGGCTTCCCAGAAGAGGCACTTAGGGGGGCCCTGTGAGAGCAGGATGCGGGCCCAGATGGGCCCTTGGCCTGATCCAGTGGGGCTCTCCTTGTCCTCTTATGTTCTTAAGCAATGTTAGGAGAGACAGGACTCATACAAGGGAGATGTTGTTGTTGTTGTTTAGTCGTGTCCGCCTCTTCGTGACCCCATGGACCAGAGCACGCCAGGCACTCTTGTCTTCCACTGCCTCCCACAGTTTGGTCAAACTCATGCTGGTAGCTTTGAGAACACTCCCACCATCTCATCCTCCATCGTTCCCTTCTCCTTGGGCCCTCCATCTTTCCCAACATCAGGGTCTTTTCCAGGGAGTCTTCTCTTCTCATGAGGTGGCCAAAGTCTTGGAGCCTCAGCTTCAGGATCTGTCCTTCCAGTGTGCACTCAGGGCTGATTTCCTTCAGAATGGAGAGGTTTGATCTTCCTGCAGTCCATGGGACTCTCAAGAGTCTCCTCCAACACCAGAATTCAAACGCATCAATTCTTTGGCAATCAGCCTTCTTGATGGTCCAGCTCTCACTTCCATACATCACTACTGGGAAAACCATAGCTTCTACTATACGGACCTTTGTTGGCAAAGTGATGTCTACTTTTTGAGATGCTGTCTCACAAGGGAGATACCTCTTCACAAAGTGCATAGTCTAAACTTTGGAATTCCCTCCCAGAAGTTGTAGGCAGGTCTACCAACCTGGATGGTTTGAAAACAGGATTAGACACATCGATGGAGGAATGGGCTATCTGTGGCTATTGGCCATGCTGCCTCCACAACCAGCGGCTTAAATGCTTCTGAACGCTGGTTGCTGGGAGCTGCAGTTGGGGAGAGCTGATTTCGCACCCAAGTCCCGTTTGTGGGCTTCTCACTGGGCCGTCTGGTTGGCCACTGTGAGAACAATGTGCTACACTAGATGTGCCTTTGGGCCTCATCCAGCAGCCAGGCCCTTCTGATGTTCTTAAGGTTTTAAAACCTCTGCGTAAGCCAATTAATTTTTCACTAAGGGCTGTTAGGGTGAGCTGCGCTTAGTGGATCTGGTGGACATGTGTGTGTTCATTGTGGGGTGTGTGTGTGTGCGCGTGTGTGTGTGTGTGTAACTGTATTTATATCTGTCTTCCTGACCCAGTCCATCCCCAACTTGATGCCCGCCACTCCCTCAACCAGCTAAATGCCTGTCAATTTCCAATTTAAACATCAGCACTGAAAATAAGTTCTGGGGCCAGGATGTCCCCAATGAAACCCTGATTTTAATCACTCCTTTGCTCATCCCATGAGCAGGAGTAATTAGCACTCCTGAGCTGGATTGGATGCATGCATTTTGGGCTCCCTTGACATATTTGAATGACAGACATTATCCCTTGTTAACCTATGCTGCAATAACAAAGGATAGTATCTATTGCTAGGCCTACTCAGAGCACATCCATTGAAATTCACGGGCAAGCCTAACTTAGGCTCATTAATTTCAGTGGGTCTACTCTGATGATAACTTAGTACAACCCATTGACATTCAAAGGCATGACTAACGTCAATCCAGTTACTTCAGTGTGGGTCCACTTGGCACATTGTTTAGCTGGATACCAACCCAAAGAGTTTTGGGTTCATTAACCTAGTGTCAGATTCTTGTTGCTTATAGAAGTTTGTGACAATCTTTCTATAAGATCCGAGGACAAAAGGGGGGTTATCCAGCCCCTTTCTGTAAGCCGGAGAGGTGAAGAAAAACAGCTCTTTTTTGAGATTTCCCAATTTGCAAATAAAATAAAAATGGGGAAAGCATCCTGAGGGTTAACACATCTTAAGGGAGTTCCCCAAAACATCAAGTGATGTGTTTCCAATCTTTGGGTTTCTGGGGTGGCTAGCTTAGATGGCTTTCAAATAAGGTAAAGGGACCCCTGACCATTAGGTCCAGTCGTGACCAACTCTGGGGTTGTGGCGCTCATCTCGCTTTATTGGCCGAGGGAGCCGGCGTACAGCTTCCAGGTCATGTGGCCAGCATGACTAAGCTGCTTCTGGCGAACCAGAGCAGCGCACGGAAACGCCATTTAGCTTCCCGCCAGAGTGGTACCTATTTATCTACTTGCACTTTGACATGCTTTCGAACTGCTAGGTGGGCAGGAGCAGGGACCGAGCACAAATTCATGGCCAGTGAATGCTACTAGCCACAACGACAATGCTCAGGCACCATGGTCACAGACAGTAGTTGTTGCCATCCACCTGTCTTGAGGGACAATGGAGTGTGCCTCTGGGGGTGAAGTCAAACCGCTGAAGAATCACAGCGCCTGCTGTGGCTGCAGAGACCAGTAACCCATAAACCCCTTTCTCCTGCGTTGTTTTTGCTGTGTTAGCAGCAACAGTGACCCCTCTGGTGGTGCAAGCCTGGGCAGTGTGCACGGAGATCCTGGGCTGCCCAGATGACAAGACACCCACCGGTCTCACCAGTGTGGTCCAAAGGAAGGCAAAGCTATACATTCGGCACCAACTTGGCGGCAGGAGTTTCCAGTGCAAGACGATATTCAACCGTCTTAGGGACTCCACTATGGATTTGTGTAGGGCAGACGTCAGCAACCTTTTTCAGCCGTGGGCCAGTCCACCGTCCCTCAGACCATGTGGTGGGCCAGACTATTTGGGGGGGGAGAGAACAAATTCCTATGCCCCACAAATAACCCAGAGAAGGAAGTCAGATTGGCCTCAATCAGAGGCAGGGCCTTTTCAACACTGGCCCCGGCCTGGTGGAACACTCTGTCTCATGAGACCAGGGCCCTGCGGGATCTGATTTCTTTCCGCAGGGCCTGTAAGACAGAGTTGTTCTGCCTGGCCTTTGGCTTGGAGTCAATTTGATTCCCTCCCCCTCTTTCTTTTTTCTTTCTCCTCCTGTGATGAGGCTGCATTTTAATGTTTTAATGTTGCATTTTAATCTTGTTTTTTAAGTTGCATTTCAATCAACTTGTTTTCTGTTGGTTGTTAGCCGCCCTGAGGCTGGTCTTGGCTGGGGAGGGCAGGGTATAAATAAAATTTATTATTTATTATTATTAGAGATGCATTTTAAACAAAAGCACACATTCTACTCATGTAAAAACACCAGGCAGGCCCCACAAATAACCCAGAGATGCATTTTAAATAAAAGGAAACGTTCTACTCATGTAAAAAGACGTTGATTCCCAGACCGTCAGTGGGCCAGATTGAGAAGGCGATTGGGCCAGATCCAGGCCCCGGGCCTTAGGTTGCCTAGGGCTCTTGTGTTCGAATCCTGATTTTGTGTATCCTGCAAGGATCTGGGTGGCCACCGTGAGAATGGGGTGCTGGACTAGATGGACCACTGGCCTGACCCAGAAAACCCTCCCTTGGTTCTTATGACTACAGGGAGCGAATTAGACGGGGAAGTCCTATGTCGTACACAAAGGATAAAAATAACTTGTGGATTTCACGACCGCAAGATGTATACAGAGGGCCATTTTGGGTCACCGATGACTTCACAGACATCTTTCCCTTGATCTCTCCATCTGAACCATTGAGTTGTTGTTTAAAAGGAATGGTTTGATTGCCTGGTTTTTTATTCTGTCCATGTTTTGAAGAAGGGGTTGGGAACTGGATCCAGCCAGTTCTTTACCCCTCCGGCCTTCCGCCTGGATGGGGCCACCCACCTGTCAATCATTATGACACCAGGGGGCCGCTTGAAAAGGCAGCTTGCAACATGAGAAGATTTACGTAATTACAAAAGCGTAACAAAAGTAGACATAAGCAGTAAATAAAAAACGTACCAAAACATACATAGGGAAATTAAACAACCCCCACGTGAGTCATAATAAAATCTAAAAACAGAGTGAAACCCGATAGGATTAGGATGGAGACCAAAAGAAACCAGCAGAGCAGGGAGATTATTATGTTTAGTTATTTATTGCATTGTTCTTGGTCCTGTTTTGCATCACTTTAACGTTGTTGTTGTTTAGTCGTTTAGTCGTGTCCGACTCTTCGTGACTCCATGGACCAGAGCACACCAGGCACTCTAATAAAAATCACTCTAATAAAAATCCCAATAAAGCTTATTACCAAAGATCTGAAAATTAAGATGCAACAAATGAATATCTATAACAGGAAAGCGAACATCTCCAAAATTAAACCAGCCCCTAAGCAATATCCCACCCCAGTATCCCGCAGAAATAAGGTGGGCCCTGGGAGGGAGGCGTTATTTGCCCCCAGGTGGTTCTGCAAAGTTTCCAAGTCACTCTTTGAAAGCAGGTAAAGGGCTCCTTTCTCAGGGTTTAAGGATTGATTGCATGGCTCCTCTCTCGGCCCGCGCGCTGCTCTCGTCTCTCCCGAGCCGGTAATTTGTTGCCGGTCCCTAACTCTGACATGATTATTAGTCGGGGGGGGAGGAGGAGGGGCCGCCAGGGCTGTGTGTGCTGCTGGAGGTTTTGTTGGTAAAGAAAAAGATTTGAAACAGAGCTCAAGATCCATTAAAGGAAGGGACCGTCAAACCTGAAAAAGCAGCCGAAATCGCGCTCTTGAGGTGGGGCTGGGGGGGAGGGAAGGAAGGAAGGAAATTTTAAAGGGGTGGGAGGGAGGGAAAGAGCCGTCAGGGTGCGAAAATGAATCAATAAGCGAAGAAAAGAGAGGGGGGAAGGAGGAGGAGAAGAAGAAGAAGGGGAAAAAAATCACAAGAAAGCCCAGAATCTCAACCGCGCCACGGAAAGTTAATCAATAAACTAATTAACTGCTTGCAAGCTTTGTAATTGTTTGATCAGAAGAATTAGAATGAGGGTCTGGGGGCAGCCCACGACCCTAGGATAAGGCCGAATCGTAGAACTCTTTGCATTATTTTTAAAAGAAGAATTGTGATTTTATTTTTATCTTTTCAATAGGAATTTTATTGTATTTTTTTGCACCCGTGGGGGAAAAAGGAAAGGAAATCTTTCTGTCCCTCTCTTTCTCGTCCCCCTACCACACTTCCTCATCCTCTTTTTTAAAAAAGAAAATAATAATAATTGAAGGATTTGGGAGAGAAGCGAGGCAGACGGAAATGCCGTTCAATTAAAGCGAGATTGGAGGGAAATTTTGTCTCCCAAACTGCTGGCGGCTTTTGATCTCTTTGTTTCCACGCACACCACGAAGAAGACGACCAAGTCCAGCTTGGGATTTTCTGCTCTTTTTTCCCCTTTTCCTTTTTTTCTTTGTTTTGTTCCGGCGTGGTCCCCCCCCCCCTTTCCTTCCTTTATTATTTTTTTCCCCTTTTTGGTGAACATTCTGAATTCGAGGCTCGCTCCAGCTTGCTCCTTTTTGAACCAATGAAGGAACCAGACGCCATCAAACTTTTCATTGGACAAATCCCCCGGAATTTAGAGGAGAAGGACCTTAAGCCTATCTTCGAGCAGTTCGGCAAAATCTACGAGTTGACAGTCATTAAGGATAAATACACCGGCATGCATAAAGGTAAGGCGCGCGTTACGCGCAGAGACCAAGCGCTGCGCCCCGGGTACCGCCGCGCGTCGGATGCGCTGGTGGCAGCGGTGGGATGGAATAGAAACGGGCGAAGAACAACAAAGCCGATGGGGACACGACTGGGGGTGATGAGGGGGGGGGGAGAGAGAAGAAGAAGGAGAATTCTGAGCCCCAAGTATCGCCTGGAATTGCACTACCCGGTTGGAGGAGGGGGCGCGCAAAAAAAACGCTTTAAGCGAGAGGATAAATTCGTCGTTCCGAAAGCACCGCCCGGCTCGTCACTGGCGAGCGTTACGCGCGGAGTTTGTAGGCTTAGGGGGGGGGGCTGTCAGAGCAAGGCATTTGAGGGTAAGCGGTTTTTCCAGGAGGAGAGGGAGGGGGTCGGGAGATGGTAACAGATGGCCGGAGGTAGAGAGCCAGTAGATTGCTCCCGCCTCCCCCCCCCCGCAAAAGGCCACCATGAATAGAACCCTGGATGTCTAACCACCCACAGGATGGGGTTAGAGACTTGCCTGTCAATAGGATGGAGGGGGGGCATCTAGATTCTGATTTCTTGGAGTCGTGTGGAGTAAGGTTCGGAAGCAAGAGGGCCCTAACTTAGCAGGGGGGAGCAGGAATCGTTTAGAGGGGAAGAGGGTGTTTTGAGCAGATTTCCACTGACTTTGAGCTTGGTGTGTGTGAGAGGGGGGGGGAGGGGGCAAAAGATTTCAGACCCTTTCTCCAGTTCATTTCCTCTTTTATGTTTTCCTTTTGGAGTTGGAAAGAGGGAGGGGTCCAGCTCCCCCCCCCCTTTCAGAAAGGGCTTCAGCGGTGCCTCTCCTCTTAAAGTGTCGCTAAATAAATCCGCGGTGGTTGTTGTTTTTACCTGTGACGGCAGAGCTTCTGGATTTTTGTAACCTAATCGCTTATCAAGTTTTGCCTTTTCTTTTTTTAAAAAAAAAGGAAATTAAAACCACCTTCTTGAAGAGGAAACAATGTGTGATTTTAGCTGAAGCCCAGTGCTGGGTGACACAGTTGCAGCCCCTGGAACGATTTCCAGGTTTCAACATGCCTGTTCCAACAGAACTCGGGAGACCTCTTGGTTTCCAGAACAAGAAAGCTTTCGTCTTTCTTGGGTGGTTTTTATTATTTTTGCCGGGTCATTCCCCCTCCAGATTCCCCAGCAAAACTGCCCCTCATTGTCGCTGCCTCCCCTTCCCAGGCCTTTATTCTCAGCTGTGTAAGAGAGTAGCCACCTCTGAAATTGTTTTGTTTAAACTGTATTTGAAACCACATTTCAAGACACATCAAACTTTTGTAGGTGGGTGGCAGGAAAAGTTGCAATATAAGATTATTATTATTATTATTATTATTATTATTATTATTATTATTATTATTTTTCCCTGTGATGCCGACTGGTAAACACGGCTCTGCCCTCAGGTGCTGATTCAGAGGGAAGAGAAAGCAAGCAAAATCCATTTAGTACACCCTGAAGAACACAAGGAAGGGAACAGAGTATAATTAAGAACATTAAGGGGTTTGGGGGTTTTTTGGGGGTCTTTTTTAAAGTGGCAAAAATTCATGAGGTCCAGCTTCGCTTAATTTCTGAGATTTCATCAGCATCCAGATTTTGGCAACCGATAGAGGCGTCTAGTATGTGCCTGGGCTTGCTGGACCAAAACCCTGATTAATGGACGTTGTTTGGCAGGTATTTGCGGCACCGTTCCGTGAAAAATGGTTTTGGCTTCGTGAACTGCTGGGAGAGGGGGCAATAAGAGAAAGAAGTAACATTTGCTGAGCCCATTTGAAGCTGCTCTTGTCTTTGAAGTCTAGGAAAAGAGAACTGATCACCCATCAGGCCAGCTGGGAACACAATAACCAGGTGTGAGGCTCTTGGGTTTGTTTGTTTCTCTTCGTTTTATTGCAAATGGTATTTGGTAGGTTTCGCGCAGACAAGGAAGTTGCCAGCTTTTTGTGATCAGCCTGTGGTTCCGTGACTCGGAGAAGGGTTCAGCTGACAAGTGTTTACAAGGGGACCATGTTTACCTCCAGTGCCATGAAAAAAATATCTCTTTCCCCCCTCCCTCCACCACCCACGCCACCCCAAGTTCCAATAAATTGAGCTGCTATTAAAGGCGGAGGAGCAAGGGCTGAAAAAGGAATTGGCAATCTTTGTTAGAAGGGAAAGGAGTCGAGATTGAGGCCTAGAGCCTGAGTACGTTTGAAGTTGCAGGGCGTGGGATATGCCCCCCCCCAAATAAAAAATAATAATAAACAGGATTTTTGAGCAGGAGTTAAAGTTTCATGTTTGGTGGTATTGGATGTTTGGCGTTGCAAAACACTGGCAATAAAATAAGATCAGTTAACGAACCAAATCCCTCAGATTTTGCATGCAAGGCTTGGGGGCGGAGGACAAACCTCCAGGTCTGGAAAAACACAAGCATATTCTAAATATGCAATATGATGCAGTTTGAATAATTTTTTTGTTTAGAATTCATTGAGTAGCCTCAGTTTCTCTGTAGCTGAAAGGGGAAAGGTTGGGTGTTCTGAGGAGAAGCCATTTCGGATCAGTGTGTGGTTGTTTTCCCCCTCACCACATCTGACCAGCCCTCTCAGAGGGGTCCTCGGACCCTCACACCCAGTGCAGCAACAGGCAAGAAGGATGGGAATTGTAGTCTAGCAAGGGCACCACATGGCTACCCTTTCTCAGAGGATCAGGCTTATGACCGGAGGGACAGGGCTATGATTGGCTGCCAGCCGCAATGGCTATGCCAATGGAGGCAGGGTGAGTCCTCAGTTTCCTGGGCACATTCTGCGTTCCTGGCCCTTGCCCCAGGCAAATTGTTGTCCCTCCTTCCTCCCCCAGTACTTTTTCTTCATGTCTGTGGATACCTTGAGCCAGTTGTGGTGGTAAGCTAGGGTTCGAGAAGCCCATTCAGCCACTGGGTGAGACATCGGAGCCATTCTCTGTTTCTCAGACTAACCTCCCTCACAGGGTTGTTGTGAGGGTAAAACAGGGAGAGGGAGAACCATGTATGCTGCCTTGAGCTCTTTGGAGAAAGGTGGGTAATAAACGTAATCAATAATAATAATAATAATAATAATAATAATAATTTATTTGTACCCGCCCATCTGGCTGGGCTTCCCCAGCCACTCCGGGCGGCTTCCAACAAAGACCAAAAATACACTAAAATGCCACACATTAAAAACTTCCCTAAACAGGGCTGCCTTCAGGTGTCTTCTGAATGTCAGGTAGTTGTTTATCTCTGATGGGAGGGCATTCCACAGGGCAGGCGCCACCACCGAGAAGGCCCTCTGCCTGGTTCCCTGTAACTGGGCTTCTCACAGGGAGGGAACCGCCAGAACGCCCTCGGAGCTGGACCTCAGCGTCTGGGCAGAACGATGGGGGTGGAGACGCTCCTTTGGGTATACTGGGCCTTTGAGGCCATTTAGGGCTTTCAAGGTCAGCACCAACACTTTGAATTGTGCTCGGAAACGTACTGGGAGCCAATGCAGGTCTTTCAAGACCAGTGTTATGTGGTCTCGGCGGCTGCCCACAGTCACCAGACTAGCTGCCACGTTCTGGATAATAATAATTAGCTGGTGTGAGTTTGTAGCAGAGTCCAAGTACCCCTGACCCCGCCAAGGAATCTTTAGAAGCGAAATCTCTCCATGGGAAAACAAATGCTTTAGCGCGTGAATGCTAAGGTGTTAGGTTCCCGTTTCACAGATCCTGCATCTAGCAAGGCTGATCCAACCCACCACCATCCTAATCTAAAGAACTAAACACCTCTTTGGCTTTTAAATTGACAGGATTTCAGCAGAGCTGGTGGATCAAACCAGGTGGAGAAGACCATTCAGCAGGCTTCCTCAACCTCGACCCTCCAGATGTTTTTGGCCTACAACTCCCATGATCCCTTAGCTAGCAGGACCAGTGGTCAGGGATGATGGGAATTGTAGCCCCGAAACATCTGGAGGGCCGAGGTTGAGGAAGCCTGTCTTTCAGTATAACTAGGGTTTTTGAGGTTTAAAGAGCAGCAAAGGGCTGCTTGCAAATGTGCTTTTGAAACAGCCTGTGCTGCATTTTGAAGTCCTGACCGTCGTGGCACAGTGATGTCGAAGTGATGTCAGGTGATTGACAGGTGATTGGTCCCACCCACCTGTCAAATTTGGCCTGGCAGGGATGGGGAGAGAAAGATCTGGTCTGACGGCCAGACCAGAAATGTTCCCCACCCCTGGCATAGAAGTATAAGAAGTTGGTATGTCTAAATAATATCCACCTAACAACCACAAAGGGACGCGGATGGCGCTGTGGTCTAAACCACAGAGCCTTGGGCTTGCCGATCAGAAGGTCGGCGGTTCGAATCCCCACGACGGGGTGAGCTCCCGTTGCTCAGTCCCTGCTCCTGCCAACCTAGCAGTTTGAAAGCATGTCAAAGTGCAAGTAGATAAATAGGTACCACTCCAGCGGGAAGGTAAACAGCGTTCCTGGGTGCTGCTCTGGTTCGCCAGAAGCTGCTTAGTCCTGCTGGCCACATGACCCGGAAGCTGTACGCCGGCTCCCTCAGCCAGTAAAGCGAGATGAGCGCCGCAATCCCAGAGTCGGCCACAACTGGACCTAATGGTCAGGGGTCCCTTTACCTTTTACTATGTCTATATAATATCCACGTAACAATCACACAACTTTGGCAGTGAGCTTGCCTTCTCCTTCCTTGTTCACCAATTTCCTAAAGCCTAATCGCCAGAGATGAAGGATACCCAACAAGTTATTGTTTACATAACCCAGAACTGAACAGTCTCTCACTTTCCATGATACAGGGACACACAGGGAGGTTGAAATCCATTCTACACTTACCTGGGAACAAGAGCTGTGGAACGCAGTGGGACTTCTTTCTGAGTCAACCTGCGTGGGATGGTGCTCCCAGTTGACATTCCTAAACCGTGCTTACTCTGAAGCGAGCTTCGCCAAGACCTGAGATGCTTGCTTCTGAGTAAACATGCTGACGAGGGTC